AGGGCCACAGCGCCTGACCGGGCCCCTGCTGGTACAAGCCCACTGGGTGGTCCTAAGTTCATGGGCCACCCGGTGGGAATCCTTACAGTGCGGGGCCCGCCTAAATCGTCTGGGAACATTTTTTTTTTGAGGGCAGCGGGGCCCACGGGGCAGCTGCCTTGGGCCCCCAGGAGTAACTGGGCCCGGGGAAGCTGCCCCGTTTGCCCCGCGTTAAAGACGGCCCTGGCTGCAGTTAATGGAGTCTGCCACTAGATGGCGCAGGGTGATATCTGCAGCTAAGGGAGTCTGCCACTAGATGGCGCGGGGTGATAGCTCCAGTTAATGGAGTCTGCCAGTAGATGGCGCAGTGTGATAGCTGCAGTTAAGAGAGTCTGCCACTAGATGCTGCGGGGTGATAGCTGCAGTTAATGGAGTTTGCCACTAGATGGCGCAGGGTGATAGCTGCAGCTAAGGGAGTCTGCCACTAGATGGCGCGGGGTGATAGCTGCAGTTAATGGAGTCTGCCACTAGATGGCGCAGGGTGATAGCTGCAGCTAAGGGAGTCTGCCACTAGATGGCGCAGGGTGATATCTGCAGCTAAGGGAGTCTGCCACTAGATGGCGCGGGGTGATAGCTGCAGTTAAGGGAGTCTGCCACTAGATGGCGCGGGGTGATAGCTGCAGTTAATGGAGTCTGCCACTAGATGGCGCAGGGTGATAGCTGCAGTTAAGGGAGTCTGCCACTAGATGGCGCAGGGTGATAGCTGCAAAGGGAGTCTGCCACTAGATGGCGCGGGGTGATAGCTGCAGTTAATGGAGTCTGCCACTAGATGGCGCGGGGTGATAGCTGCAGTTAATGGAGTCTGCCACTTGATGGCGCAGGGTGATAGCTGCAGCTAGGGGAGTCTGCCACTAGATGGCGCGGGGTGATAGCTGCAGCTAAGGGAGTCTGCCACTAGATGGCGCAGGGTGATAGCTGCAGTTAATGGAGTCTGCCACTAGATGGCGCAGCTGCTGCCACTAGATGGTGCAGGGTGATAGCTGCAGTTAATGGAGTCTGCCACTAGATGGCGCAGGGTGACAGCTGCAGTTAATGGAGTCTGCCACTAGATGGCGCAGGGTGATAGCTGCAGTTAATGGAGTCTGCCACTAGATGGCGCAGGGTGACAGCTGCAGTTAATGGAGCCTGTCACTAGATGGCGCTGGGTGATAGCTGCAGCTAAGGGAGTCTGCCACTAGATGGCGCAGGGAGCCAGCTACACTCACTTGGTCAAACCGTTGAAGAGCAGACGCGGCGCTAGTTGAGCTCGATGCACAGTGAGCGGATGGCGCCACCATGTGGACACTGTCTGCCACAGCAGCGTTGTTCCCTCTCCGTGCTCCGCATTGGGTAAGGGCTCCCTCTGGCGGTCACACTGGGTAAATACAGCGTGACCTGCCTGTTTGGGGCAGATAGGGAAAATTGCCCCAGGAATGGCTGCTTTCTGGGAGATCTGCCCTGAATCTCAGGTAAGCCTCTCAAATACTGAGCCAAACATAGGTCCATGTGTATCCAGCAGGGGGACCCTAAAATACCTGCAGGGCTGGAGTGTCTGGGGGAATTGTTGGGGAGTCTGGGGGGATCTGGGGGGGTCAGTGGGGTGTCTCTGGGGATCTGGGGGGGTCAGTGGGATATCTGTGGGGGTCAGTGGGGTGTCTCTGGGGATCTGGGGGGGTCAGTGGGATATCTGTGGGGGTCAGTGGGGTGTCTCTTGGGATCTGTGGGGTGTCTCTGGGGATCTGAGGGGGTCAGTGGGGTGTCTCTTGGGATCTGTGATGGTCAGTGGGGTGTCTTTGGGGATCTGGGGGGTCTGTCAGATATCTGTTGGGGTCAGTGGGGTGACTGGTGTAAATTCTGCCCATTAATATCCATAATTATTTCCCCTAATTCTGGTTATTTCAGGAGTGACCGGCCTGCAAGGATGGGGGACAGACAGAATGGGGGGGGTTAGCCGCTGCTCCCCCCCATTACTTTACACATTCACCCTCTCTATATATATATATAGTACCTGTATCTCGCTGGATATATACCCCAATCCACAGGCACACCCCTGGGTGACAGACAGAAATGGTGGTAATTAGTATAAAGTAGGACGCTGTGCGGCTCAGGAGTTTTATTTATATCCTATTATTTTTTAATTTAGAGCAGTGGTTCCCAAACTTTTTAGGTTGAAGGCGCCCTTAATATTTCAGTATTTTTCCAAGGCCCCCCAAGTCAAAATTTCTATGTTGCACAGTGTTGGTGTTTGAAGGGGTGCTTGTATAGTTATTATGTTTTAATACAGGGGTGTGTTTGATTGCAGGGGTGTGTCTGAATGTAATGTTCACTTTTAAATGTGGATGTACATTTGTGTGAAGTAGTTGTGTTTGAATGCAGGGGTGTGTTTGTATATTGTGCTTGACTGCTTGGATGTATGCACATACACTACAGACATACATACACACACAGATATTTATGCACATTAACACACAGATGCATATAAAGACACCAATACATTCACACAGACATACACACATATACCCTGACACACACATTGATACATGCCCACACCATGACACAGATGCACACACTGACACGCAGACACAGAAGCACACTGACTTATATAGACATGCACACCCTGACACATACAAGTGATTTTTTTATATTTTTAATATCTCCAGTCACTCTCCTGTCAGCTTACTTTATGTGGCAGGACGGTGGCTTGGAGTCCTGCTGCTGGTGGGAGTGAGGGGTCTGGAGCTCTTGGTGCTCCACTCCCATCACGCTGCGGCTGCTGGGAGGAAGTGACAGGCTGTCGCCTCCTCCCAGCCGGCCGACATTACAGGGGTTCGGTCGCGGTCTTAAAGGACCACGGCACCTGACCGGGCCCGTGTTCAGCAGTAATGTTTCCCCGGTGCTGTAATCATAGCACCGGGGAAACATTCCGCTACACCCCAGTTAGGGAACCTCTGATTTAGGCCATAAGTCAAGAACAATATGTACTCCTGCAGAACGTACAACGAGGAAACTACGAAATATAAAACTTGGAATATTATTAAATGCAGTTAAAGGACCACTATAGTGCCAGGAAAACATACTCGTTTTCCTGGCACTATAGTGCCCTGAGGGTGCCCCCACCCTCAGGGTCCCCCTCCCGCCCGGCTCTGGAAAGGGGAAAGGGGCTAAAACTTACCTTTTTCCAGCGCTGGGCGGAGAGCTCTCCTCCTCCGATCCTCCTCCGTTACGCCCCGCCGGCTGAATGCGCACGCGCGGCAAGAGCTGCGCGCGCATTCAGCCCGTCGCATAGGAAAGCATTTACAATGCTTTCCTATGGACGCTTGTGTGCTCTCACTGTGAAAATCACAGTGAGAAGCACGCAAGCGCCTCTAGTGGCTGTCAATGGGACAGCCACTAGAGGCTTTGGGGGAAGGCTTAACCCATTCATAAACATAGCAGTTTCTCTGAAACTGCTATGTTTATAAAAAAATGGGTTAACCCTAACTGGACCTGGCACCCAGACCACTTCATTAAGCTGAAGTGGTCTGGGTGCCTAGAGTGGTCCTTTAATAAGCCGTATAATTAATAATCTCAAGGAAATAATAATTATTTGGCCAGGAGTAATACACTGTCCTGGTTACTCACTAAAGTGAGAATTCAAAGTAAAGGAGCAATGTAGACACTATAACAACTTCATCTTACTGCAGTCAGCTCTGTCTGTGTTAATAAAGACCCCCCCCCCAGTTACTGACAGCTCTGTCTGTGTTAATAAAGATCCCAGTTAAGCAGTTTGTCTGTACAAAGACCCCCATTGACTGACAGCTCCCCCGTTCCATGTGATGTTACAGATCTCGTTTCCGCATTTTATTTTGTAGATACTGTGGGAGCCCGGCGATCACTCTGAAACTTGGGATGATGATGATGAAGATGAAGATTGGCCTGATCAGAAAAGTTATGATGAAGGCTCAAGGTGCGATGTGTTTGGAGCAAGTTTTCGTTAATCTTCGCACAAAATCACAAAGTTCATTTTTTCTGTGTGTCTCCCACTGTGCCAGCCCTAGAGGTGCAATGCTGTGTGCGCCCTAGAGGTGCAATGCTGTGTGCGGCCTAGAGGTGCAATGCTGTTTGCGCCCTAGAGGTACAATGCTATGTGCGCCCTAGAGGTACAATGCTGTGTGCGTCCTAGAGGTGCAGTGTTCTAATCCTCGATGATGGTTCTCTTGTTTGTAAGAGAGGTGTAGAAGGTGCCAGGTTGTGCCCTCTTCCTGGTGCCCACAGTCTCATTACCTGTGTGTATTGCATTCCAGGTCTCCTAATGATTATCTGAATATTAACCAAATCTCCGAGGTGCCATTACCATGGGATCACACCTGTGCAGGTAACACATAACCATTTAATCTGTTACTGAGCATTATGGCCACCAATGATTCCACTGAAATCAGGTTTATTTTTGTTATAGACTATAATCCACCGGACAACTGCCCCACCAACCACACCATCAGGACACTACACCACCCTTCATTCGAGGCTTACTACGCTGCTGTAGCCATAGTCCAGAACACAGAGTCCTCATGGTTACAGCTGAGGAAGAAAGAAGGTGAGACCGATACTATTCCTGTACCGAGTACTACTCACGGCTCTGTCACTGCACCTCCATCCTGCCCTGCAGCTCTCTCTGCTATTCCTGTACTGGCCCCAAACACAGCTCTGTCACTGCACCTCCATCCTGTCCTGCAGCTCTCTCTGCTATTCCTGTACTGACCCCACACACAGCTCTGTCACTACACCTCCATCCTGCCCTGCAACTCTCTCTGCTATTCCTGTACTGACCCCACACACAGCTCTGTCACTACCCCTCCATCCTGCCCTGCAGCTCTCTGCTATTTCTGTACTGACCCCCACACACAGCTCTGTCACTGCACCTCCATCCTGCCCTGCAGTTCTCTCTCTCTCTGCTATTCCTGTGTTGACTTCACACAGCTCTGTCACTGCCCTCCATCCTGCCCTGCTATTCCTGTACTGACCCCACACACAGCTCTGTCACTGCACCTCCATCCTACTCTGCAGCTCTCTCTGCTATTCCTGTACTGACCCCTCACAGAGCTCTGTCACTACACCTCCATCCTGCCCTGCAGCTCTCTCTGCTATTCCTGTACTGACCCCACACACAGCTCTGTCACTGCAGCTCCATCCTGCCCTGCAGCTCTCTGCTATTCCTGTACTGACCCCCCACACACAGCTCTGTCGCTACACCTCCATCCTGCCCTGCAGCTCTCTCTGTTATTCCTGTACTGACCCCCACCCACAGCTGTCACTGCAGCTCCATCCTGCCCTGCAGCTCTCTCTGCTATTCTTGTACTGACCCCCCACACACAGCTCTGTCACTACACCTCCATCCTGCACTGCAGCTCCATCCTGCCCTGCAGCTCTCTCTGCTATTCCTGTACTGACCCCCCACACACAGCTCTGTCACTACACCTCCATCCTGCACTGCAGCTCTCTCTGCTATTCCTGTACTGACTCCCCCCCCCACACACAGCTGTCACTGCACCTCCATCCTGCCCTGCAGCTCTCTCTGCTATTCCTGTACTGACCCCACACACAGCTCTGTCACTGCACCTCCATCCTGCCCTGCAGCACTCTCTGCTATTCCTGTATTGACCCCACATACAGCTCTGTCACTGCACCTCCATCCTGCCATGCAGCTCTCTGCTATTCCTGTACTGACCCCACACACAGCTCTGTCACTGCACCTCCATCCTGCCCTGCAGCTCTGTCTGCTATTCCTGTATTGACCCCACATACAGCTCTGTCAGTATACCTCCATTCTGCCCTGCTACTCTTTTCGCATCCCATTCATGCAGTGGTCACTAATTTCTCATATGTCTCTAGGTGTCATGCTTCTCCATACCTGTTCCATCCCTGCTGTCTCTTCTTAGTTCTCCTGACATCTGACATCTCTCTGTCACTACACCTCCATCCTGCCCTGCAGCTCTCTCTGCTATTCCTGTACTGACCCCACACACAGCTCTGTCACTGCACCTCCATCCTGCCCTGCAGCTCTCTCTGCAATTCCTGTACTGACCCCACACACAGCTCTGTCACTACACCTCCATCCTGCCCTGCAGCTCTCTCTGCTATTCCTGTACTGACCCCACACACAGCTCTGTCACTACACCTCCATCCTGCCCTGCAGCTCTCTCTGCTATTCCTGTACTGACCCCACACACAGCTCTGTCACTGCAGCTCCATCCTGCCCTGCAGCTCTCTGCTATTCCTGTACTGACCCCCCACACACAGCTCTGTCGCTACACCTCCATCCTGCCCTGCAGCTCTCTCTGTTATTCCTGTACTGACCCCCACCCACAGCTGTCACTGCAGCTCCATCCTGCCCTGCAGCTCTCTCTGCTTCCTGTATTGACCCCACACACAGCTCTGTCACTGCACCTCCATCCTGTCCTGCAGCTCTCACTGCTATTCCTGTATTTGACCCTACACACAGCTCTGTTACTGCACCTCTATCCTGCTCCTGCCTTGTGGCTGACTCTACACACAGTTCTGTCACTGTACCTCCATCCTGCCTCTGTGCTCTTCTCTGTTGCTCTGTATTGGACTCCTACACACAGCTCAAGTTACTACATTCTCATCCTGCTCCTGCAGGTGCCTCTCTCATGTTCCCTGTACTGGACTCCCCACACACAGCTCACTGCACTCATCCTGCCCTGCAGCTCTCTGCTATTCCTGTACTGAATCTACCATGTGCCTGTCACTGCACTCTCCATCCCGCCTCTGCAGCTCTCTGCTATTCTGTACTGGGACTTTGGCCACAGCTCTGTCACTACATCTTCATCCTGCCCTGCAGCTCTCTCTGCTGTTCCTGTACTGACCCCACACACAGCTCTGTCACTGCACCTCCATCCTGCCCTGCAGCTCTCTCTGCTGTTCCTGTACTGACCCCACACACAGCTCTGTCACTGCACCTCCATCCTGCCCTGCAGCTCTCTCTGCTATTCCTCTAATGGGTTACTCCAAGCATTATAACGAGTACCGCCCAGACAATTATTTGCCTCTTACTGAGGTCCGACTGAACCTCCTCTGATACTGGGTGACCTGTTACAGATGCCGGACGCTGGTCATTCCATGGCTGAGAGTGTCAGCTGATTGCTCTCAGCCAATGAATGACCCTCTGTGCATATAATTAACATTAGCCAGCCTGGCACTCCTTGTTCTCAGCCAGTGACGGTTCTGGAGGTGGAGTTACACATATACCTGGTTATTTCTTCTGGAAACACTGTACATACAGACTCAAAGCACTATAACCACTTCAAGACCCTTTACACATTTGATACAGTTCCACACAATACTGAGCAGATTGAAATCCGTCTGTTTGGATTAACGTGCATGTGTTCTGATCGAAGACTGGATTAAAGAGTATTCACGATTAGAAAATTGGCAAGTTTCTGTAGATGTCTGTGTCCCCTTTTCATTCATTTTATTTATATTATTGTTTGTGTTTATGCAATGTGTGTGGTTTGATTACTTAGTAGATCGCATATCTCCCAAAATTTCACATGGACAAAGGGGCACACTTTAATTTTATAGGTGTGAATTGGGGTTTGGCCATAGGTTCTGCAGGGGCAGGGCTAGTTTGACTTAATAACAATTTATCCAACTAAAATGTAATTTACAGAACAAGAACATTGAGACAGACTGATTACTAAACACATTTATTGTAGTTTAAAGACACATTACTGGGAGTATTATTACTGTGGAGCTCTGTTATACACTCAGACACATTACTGGGAGTATTATTGCTGTGGAGCTCTGTTATACACTCAGAGACACATTACTGGGAGTATTATTACTGTGGAGCTCTGTTATACACTCAGACACATTACTGGGAGTATTATTGCTGTGGAGCTCTGTTATACACTCAGAGACACATTACTGGGAGTATTATTACTGTGGAGCTCTGTTATACACTCAGACACATTACTGGGAGTATTATTGCTGTGGAGCTCTGTTATACAGTCAGACACACCAGCGATATGGATCTCCTAGAAAAGAGGGACATGACTGCTGACCCATATACCATCCAACCGTTGCCCCAATAATACACTGGACACCTTTTAAAGTGGTTAAGGGCAACGGCCACAGCTTTATTAAACAGTAAAACTCTTAATTCTTAATTCCTGTTCCATCCATCCCAAGAGCCCAATACAGCCGTCACTAGCCATCAGCCTTGCGCCGACTGTTGTCTCCCCAAGGTGACCTTGCATCATACTCCTTTCTTTTTCAATTCCGCTGTCCAGGGAAAACCGCCACCGCGAAGCTGTCCTGCCGCAGCTTGATCTGCGCCGGCTTCGCGCCCCCCCACAGACAGCGCCAATTCAATGCCCGATTGCAACCCCACATTAAATATGCCCAGCCCAATCAAGGTTAAGTGGACCCCATCCTTACGCATCACGTTCGAATTATCCCCTTCCAACTCAAAGTGCCGTACAACTATGCCGCCCAGACTACGCACAAAGCGCGAAATAGCCACATTAATATTTCGCCTACACGATTCAAGCGCCTTCCCATAGCCTCCTTCCTTCCACACTGGGCGGGGCACTATCTCTGACCAGATCAGTGTCAAGTCACGAAAGAGCGCAAAACAGCGCGCTATATCATGACGCATGGCGTGAATGAGATCCACCGACCTCCGTCGGCAAACATCATTGCCGCCCGCATGCAATATCAACGTCACTGGCCCAGAGACGCAGCGACTCAGCTGCTCACACTCCCTGTACACTTGATCCCAACGTAACCCCCTCAATCCCCGCCAACGTACCCTAACTTCCTGGAACGGGAACCCCAAATTCTGGCCATGTGCTCTTTCTTCCGCCCTCCTAGCAGCCCAGTACACATATGAATGCCCCAGGATCCACACATATCGAGGAACGTGGCCTACGAAACAAAGAATAAAAGTTAACCGTGCACTTATCCAGAGACATACCATCACAGCAAATGAGGACGCACGTAAAGCTGGAACCGCCCCGATTCCCAGCACCCCAGGCGCATGAGTGCCTCCGCCGGGAGACCCAATTCGCTGGCCTGCGTCACCGCCCTAATTCAAAATGAATGAGTGGAATATAACCTGGGGTCCCCCCCGACCTGCTAATGCACCTCCACAGTATGCTAGCAAATTGAAAACGGCTCAGTGATGACCCATTCTGATGGACCAGCAGCGAGCCATCGGCTCCACCCCTGGTGCCTAGATATGCCTGCAACAAGTTTCCCGGACAAAACACACCCCCGGTAAAGCCGATACGTACCCGCGCTCCCGTACCCTCTTGATCCGTCTTGGACCACCGAATCAACAGTATCACGCACTCCGGTGCCACTGAGACGTCAGAAAGCCTCAACGCTGCCACTGAACTTGCCCTAGGGGCCACCAGCTCTCCGATCCGCAGCGCCCCAAAGAAACGCAGTGAGAATGCCACCCTAAATAAAAGTACCTCGTAAGAAGAGCTACACACCTCCGGAAAACTTCCAACAGCCGCAGTAGCATGGCCCCCGAGAGAGGTCGCCGTTTGTCGGGGGCGCTGCGCTTTTTCCACCCTTTTAAAATGCGGGAAATGCAGAATGCCTTGGTGACATCCAACCAACCTAAAAAACGAAACAGAAAGGAGAGAGCAGCCAAGGAATGTTCGGCCGCCGCAGCCTACCTACCTGCGGAACACAACGAATCCAATAAAGACAACGTGATGGTCAATCTTCTGGAATCTGATGCCACATCCCCACTCCTACCCATGGCCCACCAGCGACCCCATACTGCAGAGTAAGCCTTCCAGGAAGACTCCGACAAGGACCCCCGGATTAATCGTCTCAGATGTCCGAAACCAGGTCCCACAAGTAGGGCGGGCACGGGGTTCCCGTCTGCACCGCCTCCGGAGCCGTCTCCCAAAAACGGTCCCACTGCAACCGAGAAAGAGAGTCCGCAATGACATTGTCCACCCCGGCACATGCCTGGCTACCAACCACAAATTACATTGAAGACTGAGTAGCACAAGACCCTTGAGCAATGCCAAAACCGGAGGGGACCCAGACGTGGAACATTTGATCACCTGGACCACACTCATGTTGTCCATGTGAACAATCACCTTCCTGTGCGCCAAGTCCGCGCCCCACAATTCGACTGCGACCACAATGGGGAACAATTCCAGAAACGCCAGATTACCCATCAGCTCGAAGCCCTACCAGTTGGCAGGCCACTTGGCCGCACACCACTGCCTTTGGAAATAGGCCCCAAAACCTATGGACCCTGACATGTCGGTAAACAGATCCAGCTTGCCGTTAGACACCTCTGAATGCAACCATCACGAATGACCATTATACTCACCCAAGAACGGCGCTCCACACCTGCAAGTCTGCCCGCAGCCGACTTGTAATGCGTATAAAGTGAAATGGTTGCTTCACTCCTACCGTGGCCAGGGACAGGCAGCGACAGAATGCTCGGCCCATGGACAGAACCTGACAAGCGAAGTTCAGGTGACCCAAAAGCGATTGCATCTGCTGCAGCTGACCCAGCTTCTCTTCTGGTAATCTAAAGACCATCTCGCTAGAATCAATCTCGATCCCCAGATAAGCCAACCTAACCACCGGCCCAAACGTCTTACTTACCGCTACCAGGACGCCAAACTCTGACTTGATCTGCCGGAACGCCCTCAACAACAACGCACAGTCATCAGAATCCCCCGAATCGACAAACAAAAAATCGTCCAGGTAGTGGGTCAAGGAGGACAAACCCGACAGTGCGAACACTCATGCCGGAACCTGCATGAACTGTACCACTTGCAGTGTCTCTCATTAAAGAGCCAACAGACTCCCCTACGCTGTCCTGCCGGCGCACTAGCCAGCGTGCCGGACG